TACGCTCGCTTTGCAACCACTCCACCCCAACCGAGAATTGTAAGCCCCGTTAACCAAATGGGACCTAACCAGCCAACCCCCCCCCCCCCCCTTTTTGTAGCCTGAACCTGTACTAATGGGATAATCCTCTACATGCCACGCCTATAGGCCTATTGCTGCCTTTTTATTTGTTGCCTTAACATAAAAAGAAAGTTGTGAAGGTGCGCATATCAAATAGCCTAGAACCGAACGCCCACACAACAGTGTATAAAGATGACTTTTTAAGCTAAACGTATTACGGAACTAAAGTCACGTAGTCCACTGATATCAAATTATTGGAATAATGAATTGAAACAATAAATACGCAGTTAGAACAACAAACAAGTTTCATTTAGTGCGGTTCCAATGGTCGACAATGGATTCATTTCAATCCATCAGAATTTACAATGACTTCAAAATAAAATTAAACAGCATTTATTGCCCATTTAATATCGTTATATCAATTTATCGACCACAAGTCAAAGTAGAAATGAAATTATCTATTAAGACATTGTTCGATACTATAGTCTTATAGCCTACAGCAGAAATATATTCCTCTCTTTCTCACATTTTCTAGATAACTTCGAGTCTCTTGATTACTTTTCTATTCTGTTAGTCTGTCATAAAAATCATTATGTTTCTTGCCAATAAATAACCTTAATCACTTCTCTCCTGAATCATCTTATTCTTACGGTATTTTCTTTATTCCAGACATTTTATTATTTTGTGGCAATTTAATTTGATAAAGTTGTTGTTTCGCGTTTACAAATAGGAAGTCCGTTGAAAACTGTTATGGTAATGTCAACTATTATTCTATCTAGGCCTATGTTTACAATCCAACTGAACGATACCCTCTATACATGTTTATGATAACCTATGTGCATGATATATATGTTGATATAAAACTATTCTTATGAGGTGTTAAATTATTCCAATGATACACATTCACTGTAAACAATTCTGATGTTAAACTATTCTGACGATACATTTGATAAACTACACTGATGAGTGATGATCTGAGGATATACATGCTCACGTTAAACTAATCTGATGATACACACCAATTTTATACTATTCTTAAGATACATGTTGATGTTAAACTATTCTGATGATACAATAACAGGTTCGTTGATTGTAAACTATTCCAATGAAACATGTTGTTAAACTTTTCTCGTGATACACGTTGATAATAAAATATTCTGATGATACACGTCGATGTTAATCTATTCTGATGAAACATGTTGCTATTACAATTTCTTATGATACACGTTAATGTTAAACTAGTCTGATAATACGATGACATTTTGATAAATTATTCTGAGGATACATAATATGTGTTGTGTTCAACTATATGTTGCATAAAAATTTTCATAAGATATATATGCGATTATTTTGAAATACACTTTCAGATTTAGAATTATTTTGACATAACCCTCGTGTAGTTATTTTACACCTTATCTTTTATTGAGTTTAATTTTTCAACTTATGCTATGATTGAATTCAGCTAAAATTTAACTTTGGGTGGCCTGAATACCGCATGTTAGACATGATTTTTTTTCTGTTAATAACATTACGCTGTTTAGCGATAAAATATATTATTTATTACCTATATTAATCTACCATGTTTTATAAAATACCACCCATGTATTCACTCCGGTAATAAGTTAAAATGGTTATATAAGATATTTTTGGTCCAGTCCTACACACGATTTATATAAACTACGTAAATACAATAGTTTTATTTTAGAAATTGTTTTCACCTTTTTGTATATTCAAATAAGTATAATATATCAAATGGCATTTCGGTAATTGTAAGTTATGTACCTACTACGTGACATTGACGCAAATGTGGTTTAAAAACATATGTTATGGGTCTAATAGCTAGTTAGGACTTGTTATTATTAAATAATAAAAAAAAAATATTATAGAACTCATGACAACGCCTGCAAATAAATTTAGACTACTTCAAGTTATCCCTAAAGTGACAATTTTATTTTTTGATGTAAGGGGGGTAACTCTTATTTATAACAACAATGGCTGATGAAAATCCGCTCAGGGGCCAAATTGCAAACTGCACGTGGGCTAATGAGGACTAACTGGCAGCATTTCCATTCCTTGTGTTTCAATAATGTACATAAATTTACTGTATAAAAATATTTCTCCTTGTCTGTCCTCTGGATGCCGATTCATGTCAAACTAAGCTCAAGTTTATTGATCTGGTTGTCAATCTCCTATTTTAAAGGTATAATTTGAATCCTTTTCATATGGTAGTCTAGTTTTATGATCCGTATTTGCGGATCATCACCATGAATCGAGATAATTATGAGGTTATAACTCTATTTGCTTGCCATGATAACATTTTACTACTCACATTCGGGGTGGAGAAGAACGTTTGTATTTTAACTCATCCGTCTATGGATTCAACACTGTCGTCATGGGATAGATACGATACAGAATGATATTACATTACACATATTGCCCGTTCTGTATCTAACTGTTTTGCATTATTAAGGATAATTATGTTATGTGTAGAAATGCAACAGTGGACTATAACCCTACCTTTAAAACTCATCTTACATTGCCAGACAATTATGACTATGCCTCTTACTTAATTCTATACTGAAAGTAATTAAAAGAATACTACGTCTTAGAATGAACATAAAATTTAAGTTAGAATGAACATAAAATTTAAGTTAGAATGAACATAAAATTTAAGTTCTCGAAAAGGTCAATATTAGTTTATTCATCATTGATCTTACCTGGTGTCCTAAAGTTACAACAGAATCCCTGTAAAATCTAGAAAATTGGAAAATTCATAAAAGTAAGTAATTATTGAATTAATTGCATTTTTATAAATAATTATTAATTTTTTTGGATTTATCGGATTATATAAGGATCCTGTTATGTTATTTATGACACCAGGTATATCTACTGATGAATATATGCTCTTATTGGCCAAGCTGAAAAATTTTAAATTTTATGTTTATTCTAAGACATAGTATCCCTTTAAGCTTAAATCAAGTTGTTATAAAAATAAAAATTTGAATATATTGTAACTATTTATTAATATTCACAATTAACACAACAAGCTTATAAACTACAAAATTATTGTGCCCATAAATATGAAAATCATTGTCAACAAGTAAACAACAACAAAAATAATTTTATTACCAAATAAATGCAGTACATTTTTTTTTATTTTTGGTCCAAATGAGCACTTTCTGTAATAAACAGAATCATAAAACATAGGAGATTCACATGTAGTCAGTAAAACAGTTTTAGAAAAATGTTGATAAAAGGAATGCTCCAGTTGGTCATACTAAAAATAAATCATAGAAATTTAAATATATACCCCTCTTATTAAACTAAGTTTTTTCTATCGCTTAATTTACATGATTTACGTCAGCATAATACTATTGTACTATTTCAACATGAGTGTGGGCAGAGGCATACTTGCTGAAGGGAAAAACAACATGGCAAATGTTGACAGTGGCATTTAACATCTACAATAAATAGCGTAAACCCTAAATATAAAGTCATAAATACTGGGTTTACAAATTACTGAAGGATCACGCCCATGATGACTGATGAAATGACAGAGGTGTCGCTAAATATGCTCACATGACATTTTTCATTGACCAAAACCTATTGGATTGTGCCAAACAGTAACACTTAAAACCACTTGGGAGGTTATAAGCATATAACACAGCGTCGCATAGCATGGCATGTTTAACAATACGCCGATGTGGACAAGGAGCTATTGAAATTAAGGTTTCTCAGTGTATTATGTGACTTGAAAATGCTCATGAAAATGGGCTTGTGGACACAAGCCTTTAAGTCTGAAAACAACCTTGTGTCATGATAAAAAAAAAATTTTCACAGATAAGCTTCGTATGATGAATCTTTCTAATGTTTACATTTTTTACAAATCTTTATGTAAAGTAGAAATTGTATATAATTCTTTTACAAGAATGGCTTTCACTCTTTTAAGTAGTGTTCAATGTTTATGTTGCAGAGCAATATAGAAATATCAAATGAATTATGTTGCTTTCCATCACTAAAATTACAGTTCACAATATCAAAAACATCAACAACAGCACACATTAACAACAAAACACATTACCAACAGAACACATTACCAACAGAACATATTACAATGTATTTCAGTATAAAAAGTGAAAAATAATAGAAGAGAAAAATAAATAAAACATAGATAAGACAACATCATTAATATCCAAAACAACTGAATATATATATATATAATTATTAATAATAATAACAGTAATAATAGATGACATAATATTTTTTAACTTCTGCACCTGGCTGTATCTTTATCCAAGACAGTTTTTTACTTCTGGTATCAAAAGCACATCATTAGTGCGCTCAAAAAATTTGCAAGGCAGAAAGCAGAATTTGACTAAGAAAAAATGCTCAGATATATGAGAAGCAAGGAGTTAAATAAAAGTATATGTGTTTATGGGAATTTGTAATTCTAAGTGAAACATTGGTATATCATGAAAAACCCATGTTTCCAAGTAAAGTTTTAATGAATGTCTGGTTGAGTTATCTCATACCATAAAAGTATCAATAATAATATTATTTTTGTTTTTAATAACAGGATCAGAATATATGTATCACAGCAACAATCTTCATTTAAGAGTGTATCATTTCTCAGTCTCCAGAGATCTTCAAACCAGTTTCATCCAATGTACACTATTTGAATTTGTGTTTATTAATCCATTCAGCAACTACTCAACAAAGTTGAACAGTTGGAAAGGGACAATCATAGGCTTGGAATATTTATATTGTATATAAGTAAATATCCAGTAAAAGTAATTGAAGCTTGAATTGTTTAAAAGAAGTTCATTTAAAAGAAATTACAAGATCTCACACCAGGGACTTAATATTGAGCAAATAAAAACATTATCTTGAACTTGAAGATCATGTCTTATGAACCATTCCATTAACTAAACTTTTGCGATTCATTGTTGGTCTGCATCATCAAGAAAATCTAAAACACCTTTGGCAGCTTGTTGAACTTTAGTATCATTATGTTGAAGTAATTGTTTGGTAATATCAGCTATACCTGATGTTACTATTTCTTCACGTAAATTACCTATAACAATAGATTGATAAAATAATATATTAATATTAATAAATATAATAATTATATATAATCACATACATTGGAATTTTCAGTATATAATATTGTCATACATTCATATATACAATTAGGAGATGTAAACTGAATATTCTTCTTAAAGTGAAATGTGATTCTTTGGGAAATCAAATGAGCTTCACTTGCATAAAAATAAATTCAGCTCATGCCAATATATCTCAGATCTAAGAAAGGAGTATTGATAAGACTATAAGCAGTTTAAATTCTTTCAACTAATTCCCATCTTTGGAATGCAGATAACCTTATCAAATCAATGACTACACAAAGCACTGGGAGGTGGGTGGTAAAACATTTCAAATATTTAGAATTTCCATAGAGACTTGGACTGAATCCTCAAAGAAGTCAATTACACCAATTATAAAAAAAAAACCTAAAACAGTTTACAGTGAAACAAGTCATTTAATTCTTTATTAAATAGGTAGAAACTTGGATATACAAAAAATTATACCAAGAGAAGCATGCAATATTGGTTGATAATTTCATCATGCAACATTTCAGAATCTACAGAAGGAAACCGTTATCAGATTTTATCTAAAACCTTTGTTCACCTCTTTGTTGTCAATACAAAATCATTATTTAAATAATAACCTTTTAGTCTTAAATAGTGAGACACATAAAAGTTTTTACAATTTAAACACAAAATAATCATGAAAATATTCACATGCAAATCATACAAATGACAAGGAGACCACATTAAGGAAGGATATTGTCTCCCCGAAAAATTGGAAAACTTAAACATAAGTAGTTTAGAAGAAAATCAATACTATACAAAATCAAACATCCAAAAGTTGTGTATCATGCAAGGAATGAAGTGAACGGCAAGTATAAAGAATGAGAACCTACTCTGAACATCAGATAATAAGCCAGTACAAGCTAACAGACTACAACTCAATGATTGAGAGTTAGTAGGAGATGCTGCAAGAAGTTCAATAAACAGTGTTACATCAATCATCAAGAATCAAACCCAATCAAAATGCAATTAAAAAATGGTAAAATTGCACAGTCCAGTTATGAATGTTTAGAATTGATTTCAATAAAACCCATTCAAATGCAATCAAAATGATACAAAATCTTTAATATCCCATTTCACATTCCAGTAGAGAATACTGTCAAACATTCAGCAGAGTGTGTTATGATCCAAAAATAACTGGCAGTCAAATATAAAGAGTGTAAAAGAGTTTTAAATCATACAACCATTAGTTGTCTATATTGTGGTTCTAAATAATAACTAGGTGCTGAAAATTACTGAACATTTTTATGAATTTTTTTTTACGTAGATGAGAAAAGTAAATAGACCACTTACTTGCAGCACAACAGATGGTTTTAGTTAAAGTCAATGTATTACATAATATTTCAGGTAATGTTGAAGGATTTTTTAATATTTCTGTCACAGTCTTCGCCAAGTCTGCTTCTTTTAAGGGAACAGCTGCATCTTCTAAAAAATATATAAATATATAATATTCTCAAATTTCAACTTTGCAGCATAATGATCATATTCAAAATGTTTTCGTTGACACAATGTTTTATATACATCTCTTATTGGCAGCCAGTTCAGTTAGTACAGTGCGTAAATTTTTAGAAAAAAGACAAGGTGCTTGGACAAATCAGCTGATCTTGAATTTTGAGAATGCTTCATCCTGCGTTCAATTTGCAGTAATGCTAAAAAAATACCAATAAATTGATAATTACCTAAACATGAAGATGACATCAAGGTTAGTGCCATTAAGGCTTCGTTCTGCATTACCACATGTTCAGATGTTGCCATAGAAACCAGATATTGTATACCATCGGCACTGATCACATTTTTCATTACTAATGTTGATTTACTGTTTTTAATTAACCAAGCTAACAATCTAGTTGCTTCACCTACATTAAACAATAGAACTTTGAATTTCTGTATTATGGGATCTGAAAACATTTTTCAAATCATCATATTGCATATTCTACATATATATTCACAAGAGTTAAACTGAATTTACAACCCATTATTTCTGCAATGTTATATCGAATCTCTTAGTATGTGAAATGAAATGAAATGCTAATGAAGACGGGCAACGCCATGCAGGGTGCAATGAGGGAAATTTTGCCAGGACAGCGGCATTAGCCTGCTTTTTTTCGATTTCCAACTGTCGAGGGATCTTTAATGTGCACAGCCTGTAGCACAAGGGACCTCGGTTTATTGTCCCATCCGATGCTTTTTCCATGTCAGCCCCTCGTAACTGCATCACTAACAGGGGGAAACCGGGTTGAAAAATCCGAAGGTATTATCTCGACCTATGCCGGGATTGAACCCTGGACCTTCAGGTTAGCGAGCAAGCGTCTAACTCACTGAGCCACTGCGGCTCCTCTTAGTATGTGAAGGCAGCTCAACTGTTTAAAAGAGGCTTGAAGAATGGTTGATAGTTAACCTGCCTTCACATAAGTCCTATGAATGCACTATGGATCAGGAAAGATTCAAAAGACAGCTCATAATCAGGCAATTCTGTTGAAGTAAATTCTGTCTTACCTCTGACACCAGCATGTTCCTCAACATCACACCATTCTACAATACGTACTAAAGATTCTTTATCTTCTCCTAGTGTTTTAGCTGCTTCTTCTAAAATAAGTTAATTGTTAACACAAATAATGATGCACTGTTTCCAAATAGTTCTCTCCTGTACAGCTGTGATAAGCATCCTGCAGTGGTCTACTTTCCCTTTCCCGAAAAGAAATACTTGTCTCCCTTTACTAGTATCTATATGTGAGGTTGATATATCATTTCATGTTACAGATATATAACAGCATAAAGATACCAAATTCACAAGATATTATTTTATTACCCTTTCTAGAATACCAACTCAAATCGGAGGCGATTCACAGATGTAAACTTTAAAAGTTTTTGCATGAAACAATTTCTTACCTTGCCCATCTATTAACATTCGTAAAACACCTAGTAATTTAAAGGTGACAGCCATAGATTCTATAGGAGATAATTTTAACACAGCAGACATCACTCCTGCTTTAAACAGATGTGATTTATTGCTTACTGAAAATGAAACAAAAAAAAATAATTGGTATCTCAAATTCTCCATTATGATCCTTTACAGTTTACCATACTGTTGCGCTAGTTATTGCCCTTGATGGGTTTCAGCATATAACATAGAAGTCTATCAGCTCTCATATAAGTAGCCTTGTCAAATGTTTAATAGTATGTGAATGCAGACTGCCCCAATGTTGATTTACAATGTACTGGCTCTGGTGCTTTGTCCATTCCTCAAAAACATAATACATAATATTGACAGGTATCACATATTTCCGCTATCATAAACGATAAGGTTTTCAATATTGCACAAGGGGATTGACATAATTAAAATTAAAATTCATTACCTGGTATTGCTAGATTTCTGAGAGCACTTAACGCAGCATGTAATAATGTCATATTACTATCTGTAGGTGTCACTTGTAATAACTTTAATAAATGTTCTACTATACCATTCTCTACTAGTAACTGACAATGTTCATCTAAAATATAGAATAAGATCATGTATTTTGATTGTCATAAACAGAACTAAATAATCAGTTTATGTATGGTGCTGGATATCTAATAAAATACATAGCAAGTAAACTTTGATTGTAATGAAACTAAAATTTTCATGTTCTTGAATAAGCAAATTTAACCACAGGTCTTCACTATATCGTAGCTAAGGCTGTCTAGCAGTACCATTGATTTTCTTGTTGCATCTACAGAGCGAGTGTTTTTCAACTGAAATATACCTATAACATAACTAATGCAGAGCAAAACTCACCACTCCGAGCAAAATTCCCAATAGCTAGAGCTCCTGATGTTTGGAGATGTTCATTATCACTAGATAACCATTTAATAGATTCTATAAATACAGGACCTTTACCACCACCAAATAACAACTCCATACTTTTATCTGAAAAAATAATAACTTCATACTTTTATCTGAAAAAATAATAAATTCATACTTTTATCTGAAAAAATCAAAACTTCATACATTTATCTGAAAAAATAATAACTTCATACTTTTATCTGAAAAATAATAACTCCATACTTTTATCTGAAAAATAATAACTTCATACTTTTACAAGCAAATATAATAACTCTATACTTTTATCTGAAAAAAATATTAACTTCATACTTTTACAAGCACAAATAATAACTTCATACTTTTACAAGCAAAAATAACAACTTCATACTTTTACAAGCAAAAATAATAACTTCATACTTTTACGAGCAAAAATAATAACTTCATACTTTTACAAGCAAAAATAATGACTCCATACTTTCATCTGAAAAAATAATAATGAATAACTTAAAAAATACTTAAAATACTCCATACTTTAATCGGAAAAACAACAACATTTAAAATAGAAAATGTTATCTGAAAAAAAACTTTTTTTCTGAAGATATAACTTTTTCACAGAACTGAATTTAGGAAACATTAGTAAAATTACTTACCACCAACTAAGAGTGAGACCAGAAGATCAGACGCCATTTTGATTATTTGTTGACTATCAGGATCAGATTTCCCGACATTTGATTGGATGATTTTGATTAAGTGATTACTGAGATCTGTACTCGCTAGATTATCTTTGATTGTTTCTGAAAACATAATAATAATATTATAACAAGAATTAATAATACAACATTATCTATGAAAGACTTTTAGGACTGTCTAGTTGTCATTTGACAGGACTCTTTAGCAAAAAAATAGTTACTCTCCGACCACTTTGATGTGGGTATGCACCAATTTATTTTAAGTTAGTTATTTTAAAACATCTATATCATAGTCTAAAAGCATAGTAAAAACTGAACATTATAGCGAACGAATTTTAAAATCAGACTCACTTTTAAAAAAGTTTATAAAACAATGATAACTCTTTATGTTTAGTCATTATTGACAAAACAGGTAATGATTTTTTAGTGATAACAAGGGTATAACCAATGGGCAAAATGCGATTCAAAAAATATTTGGTCACAGAGAAGCAACTAGCCTTTGGCACGAACACTTTTCTATTCTAATTGCCATTCTCATACCTTTATAATATATTTTCATGTTATAATAGGGAAATACATAAGTTTTAAACAAATACATCATCATGTGGCAATTTATGAAATAATTACATGTCTTAGTGGACATTTCAATCTGTAAATGAGACTATAATAAATGGTGATATCACATGGAATAAGACCATCTTCAGGAAAATAATTATATGATGTTGGAAACTAGCACAGTTTACATGTATATGGCTTTTCCAGCATGTAATTAAATCCAAACTTACAGAGAAAATTGGACTATTTTACTTTTAGAAAAATCAGTATAACCAACCCTATTCAAGAGGATAGTCTCACACTTGAATATGGACTCCTAAATAGGGTGCAACTAAACAATTAGGTTACTGTGGTTATTTCTTTTTAGAACATTTTTTATACATAATCTGAGAAAAAACAATTTGATATTTCATGTTTTTTCTGAGGGCAATGCAATCGATCAAGAATCCCGATAGGGGAAATTGAAATAAAAAGGTTGAAAACCCAAAGTAAACTTAAACCGTTTATATATTTAGCTGAGGTAGTTACATTTATTTTCATTTTAGTTATCTCAGATAATTTAGTTCATAATATTCTGACATGATGAACATGGGATGACACATGAGATAGATATTCTTATTAAGTTAATATCTTACCACATTCTGTTAACAATATGAGTATATCTAGAATAGTTTCTATATGTTCACTAACTTTCTCTTCTACTAATAAATTAACTAATGTTTTTAAAACTGGAGATTCACTAATTTTATCTCTTCCACTATCTGCAACAAAATAATAAAGAAACATTGTACAATAAGGTGAGTCTATTTCAGCCATAATTCCAAGACATATAACCAAAAATAGAATTTGAGCAAATCAATTGTGTATACCTCCGTTTCAGTGGCCTCTCACGCTTGTGAAAGGTCTTATTTGGTGTGAAATTAAACCTTCTACATGCTATCTGAAACCTGGCAGACTCCCAGCCTCACCTCAAAGAGACACTTCATAAATATGGCCTCCCCATCATGGAATTTTCTTTATACACCCCTGATCAGTTTATAAATACTTGGTATAAGATGGTAGCCGCATTGTTCTTCATGTAATTTCTCGGATTGTCATTCACAAACTCAAACAATTACACAAATGGTGACAAGCAAACTGATCTATTTACATCGTATTGTCATAGTTTAGAACAGTCAACTTAATTTCCACTGGTAGATTTTTGTCTTCAAAGTAAGAGTATGATATTCCATGTGGAATATCTTTAAATTTAATGCCATAAGGCAAAAAAAATATATGGCACTACATAAAGGCATTAAGAAGGAATTAGTCTTTAGAGAAGAAAATTTATTAGGTTCAGTATTTCAGATAACCTTGAAATTGACAGCAGATACATTATACTTTCTGTTTCTACAGCATGGCTATTTTCTTTTTCTCTTTATCATTTTGTCTCTACAATGATCTAGGTTTTTTTATTCTATCAAAGAATTACAACTTTTTTCGTATTTAATCACAGAATTCTGAAACTAATGCAAGAGATAAACTTGACATATTCACCTGAATCTGATAAACTACTGAGTGTTAATAAAGCCATATTAGTTAATCCTTCATCTTCTAGATGTTTCTTCAAACACAAATCTAATATATCTAATACACCATTCTCTAATGCTTTCTCTTGTAAAACATCTGAAAAAAAAACCTCCCCTATTTATCATGTGTGGATCCTCCAAAAGATGCAGCGTCAAGATTCTGTCTAGCAGTTCAGACATGAGAAAAAGGACTACTCAACCAGGTACAAAAATCCTTATACTAGTGAAACTCTTGTCACGTTTCAAGTTCTATTTAATATTTCTATTAATTAACATTTAAAGTTTCAATTTTTCTACAAATTGTTACATTATCTGGCCAAATTTTCTTACACATTTTAGAAAACTGTTGGTTTATTAATAAAACTCAAGTTAAGTTAATGTATTTTTTGAGTTGAAAAGATTAGGTAAGATTTTTTATAATCAAAAACATTGGTAAAATTATAAACCTACATCATTTTAAATTATTTATTTATTACTTTATCCTTACTATTATATATACTACATGTGTATAGGCCTAATGTATCATTACCTTAGAATGTAAATAAAAAAAATTACCTTTTTTTTGGATAAAACAGATTCTTGTGGGATAAATTTTCATTAAAATGTTCCATATCTGGTATCATGCAATAATATTATTCTTTATATTGAAATAGTTCTGTTTATTGATTTGTTGATTTGAGGGGTTTTGTAACACAGTCAGTTAGAGCATTGCAAACTTTATATGACATTGTTGCTTATTTTGAACAGATGGTGGTCATGAATTCTAATTTTGGTCAGTGAAAGAATTCTGAACTTTATTAAGTCCTCATTATTCCAGTCTACCCAGCTGTAAACAGATAATCTGGGATTGATAAATCACAAACTGGTCGATTATGGACTAGCTGGAAAGTTTTTATCATTGTAAAAAAGTTTCCTTTGATTAAAGTGTTCAAGACAAAATAAATTTTTGTGGCGAAAAAAAATGAATATTTGACCTCAATATGAAATTGTGAAGTGATAAGGGAAGATAAAATGCAAACTTTTATTCAACAAAAGTTTTAACCTTCATCTCTTTCATAAAGTCTTAATAGTCAATAATGTTAATTGGTGTTATCTTTTTCTTTACCTTTCATATGAAAGATGGTGTAATTCACATTTATGTCATACATGCACCAGCTGTAAAATGCATTATATTTTACCATGCACAGTGTCTATGAGTAATTTTGGCACAAATCAGACAGGCACAAATTGACCTGTATGAATAACAGAATTTCTTATAGAATATAAATAGATTACAAATTACTGTGTCATAGAATAATAAATTTAGAATAGGTAATAATATAATGAAAATATTGACCATCTGTTACAACTATATAAACTTATAACTACTTCATAAAAATTTCATATGATTTAGGCATAAGTCAATACCTTGTTCTGAATACATGTATTTCATAAACTAGCATGATGGAAAATCATTGCTTTTATGCTCAAATGTAAACTAGTTTCAAAATAGGAAATAAGAAATTTACTTTGTAGAAATTTTACAAAATCAGTATTTCTCCAAAATATGATCTCAAAGCTTAAACTGCCCAAAACAAGTTGAAAATAACAGAAAATGCCTGTTTACTAGAAATCAATCTTTTTTGAATTCATTTAAGTTCTATGCAAGACCAATGTCAGTAACTTTTACATGGGTCATTTACAGACGATATATTGTCAAGATATTCTGCAGTGTCAGCTAACTTACTGAAATTTTTTTGGTAAACAATATGTTATTCAAATAAAAATGAAAGGTATGGGAACAGGCTTTTGCCTATATCACCCTAATTTAGAATATAAAGCATTTCTTGATATTTCCTCATGTATTTTGAAAATTTTTGCTGAGTAAGGCATATTGAAAATGGACTGATAAATAGGTGTTTAAACCATGTGACAAATAAAATAATCAATACATATTCGAAATAATTAGACATAAAACGTAAACATTAGACTCTAACTGTCTGTCTTCTTAAACCACCCTTACTTCTACCTAAATACATAGAATATCTTTGTTTTTTCTCTCTATTGACTGTAGATTAAAGCAGATGAAAATAGACTGAAGGAATTCTGGATTATCACTAAACAAAGGTTACAATTTGACCTTTGTATTTCTACTAAGGTTAAATGTCTTATTACAAGGTACAGTGAGAACAGGTATGCACTATAGAGTGCAGACAAGAAAACTCATGTTTTCATTCACTCTGACATTTCAATCAATGTAACATGAAAGGATGTACATGCATGAATTTTTTGTTGTTGTATGAAATATCATTAAGTTGACATGTATTTCTAACTCTGAATTAACAACCTTGAGCATGACATATCTGGCAAATGGAATTAAGTGAGCTTAAGTTGTACTACAATAGATGAAAGATGTAAGCTAAAATATATGAAAATTGTGAACTTATATACATGCAAGTTGTCAGCGTATGAAGGTTATGAGCTAAAATATTGTATTATGGTTAATTACAGTAGAAATATTTTATTATTTTATCATATATATATATAAAGGGTGCAAATTAAAAATATGAAAGTTGTCATCTAAAATATATGAAAGTTGTCATCTAAAATATATGAAAGTTGTCATCTAAAATTTATGAAAGTTGTCATCTAAAATATATGAAAGTTGTCATCTAAAGTGTTCACTTATGACATGTATAATATGAAATTTATCAGCCTTGTGTCTCATGCTAGAAATCTTTTCAGCTCAGTTTAATTTAACCATAATTACAGAATTAATCAATTAATAAACATGTAGTTAAAAGAATGGTGATGCCTTTAAAATAAAGAATAGTGTTTTTAAGTGTTTAATATGCAGGTTTTCTTCCTATATCAATCATTGCAACACTGAAATATATCATTGTCTTAGATTATTGATTGCAGGATAAAAACTTATCTTAATACCATGATCATTATTCTATATTATCTCTACATAGACATCTTTATGTTTCTATTTAAACTCCTACTTATCACCTCTAAACATAAACTCATTTCATCAAGGTTGTTATAAAACTCTTTATATATACCTTGGGGAGAAATAGGATTGTAGGGCATGACTGGATGTTGTGTGTCAAAGTATCTAATTGTTGTGAGTCAAGGTATCTGACTGTTGTGAGTCAAAGCATTGGACTGTTGGTCTCTGAATGATGTGAGAGTATTTTGTTGTGAAACAAGGTGTTTGAATGTTTCAAATCACAGTATTTGGATGTCCTGAGTCAAGGTACATGAATGTTTTGAGTTGTGAGTCAATGTATCTAGAGGTTGTGGTTTAAAGTATTTGGAGGTTGTGATTTAAGGCATTTGTCAGTCTAAGTATGTTAATCCAGATATTGTGAAATTTGAGTCAACATAATTAGTTGATTTTCAATAAAAAAAACCCAGCAAGAATGACCTACCATGAGTATTGGTAAGATTGAGTAAGAAACCACAAGCAATAGTTCTTAATTTCTCACTTCCTTCATCCTTAATATCAATTTTAACTTGTGATCTCAATAAATCTGTTAATAATTTGATACCATTTAATTCATCTATTACATTTCTTCCTGCATCTACAATTTAAAAAGAATCTCTGAAACTTGGGTCTAAAAATTCTTTTTAGCTGAACAAGATTGGTAACAAGTTATAAAAAGAAGCCGCAGATACATATCAAAGAACAAAACAGTTCTGTGATGGTCTTGCTCTAGAATGTTTAAACCTGTGGACTCATTAGACTTGAGACATGCTGCAAAATTTTCAACATGCTTAGATAATGGCCTTCACAGACTGATAGTTTGATGATCTTTTTTCTTATTCATGTTCTATAAAAACAGATTAGAAATGTAAGAAACTTTAATCAACTTTTATGTGCCCACTTAAAATGTTTCATTAAATATTGCATTAGCACATATGTAAGGAATCTATCTATTAGAGAGAGAAGTAATAGAATTAGAGGTAAAGTATTCATAAATATTGAATAATCTGTTAACTATCACCTGTCTATGAAAATTCCTGCCATTAATAATAACTTTAACTGTTTATAGTACCATTAGACGACTGGTTTAAATTACTATTTTGTTTCTAGTTACCATTGATGTACCAGTACATATACTGTTATACTGTTAAATGTTTAAATTTAACCTTACAAAAATCTAGCTTTGTATCATGTTAATTATATTTAATTATTTACAAACATCATTTTATTCAATCTATGATGCATATATATTTTCTTTCAATATCAATTCAAAATCTATTAATTTTTTGGTTCTAATATGATTTCCTGGGAAATTTGGAAATTTTGTATCAAGGTACACCAGTAACAACATAAGGTACATTATATACCTGAGAATTAGAGTGGCAGACTTGAACTTACCAGATATATTAAACTAAACAGTAACTTAACTAGTAATTATACTATAGTTACACACAAGGTGATAAACAATTCCCTTCAGAAATCAATTTATTTTTAAGAGTGTTTTAGTTTAGAAGGTAAAAAACTTATCATCAATTTAGAAACCTAAAGACTATTTACAATATATTTATAATAACTTAGTTCTACTTATACCAAGAACATTATCTCAGTCTTAGATTCACCTAAATTACCATTCCCAAGTTAACAAACTATTTACTGGCCAGGTACAGATATAATCTGTTCTTAATCAAAACAATAATTTGACTCTTTCCACAAAATTCTTTACAGGATGATTACATATATAAGCTTAAATATTAAAATGATGATGAAGGGTTCAGAAAGGATAAGCAGGATATAACTTGACTGATGTTTAAAATAAGCACTACAAAACAATAATCGATTAAATTGAAACAGATTTTTCATCTTTTTTATGTGTTTGAAACAATTATAGGAGCTATTTACAACTGCCGTGTGTGGTTCAAGAAACTTAAGCTTGATTCTGACTGCAAACATTTTTATGACACCCTCCTTCCCCCTAAGTGTACCGCTGATTGTGAACTTCTGGAATGACAAACCATGTGACATTCCAGATAGTCAGCACCACAAAAGTCATTATCTGCAATAACGTTTCCTTTTTGGCTGAATGATATCACATTTATATTCTGGTTTAATATTTTTGAAGTACAGTAACAAATGTGTTGACAAAACCAGGAGAGTTTTGGATTTCAAAAGAGTAGAAACTCATCTGATGCTTAAAATAACCCATTGTACTTTTTGATTAACATTACTAATAAATTAAAAGATCATTAGTACTAACTGCAGGAGTTATAAGTAGTGGATGATAAAAATGGATGCACATACTTAATACCGATAGTAGTACTATAAGAATAAAATTTGACTTACCATTATCATAACAAATATTACCCAGGGCACGACAACACTGTGTAGGTAATAATATATAATCACTAGTTAAATTAATAAGTAATGGTTTAATAAAGTTCAAATCTACCAAGGGTTGGCGTAATGATTCTGAAAAAAGCAGAAATTTTAATATAAAATATTTACAATGAAGAAAGATTTATATTTTACATTCTCCACCCTATTGGCCTTCTGGATTAGCATTCTGCAGAAAACATCAGAGGAAATTTTGTCTAAGTATTGACATAAGCATAAACTAATTTCTGAGCACACTTCAACAATGACAAAAAAAAATACGAAAAATCAATGTTTTCATAATGTTAAAACCATCCGAAGCCATATCATTATATTTTCTTGTTTTACAGATTTTTTCTGGAGAATTCTATGAAGCCAGGAGAAAAAAGTGGAATAAAAGACAAAAATTGTGGAGGGGAAGAAGAGAAAAACAAACTAATAAGGGCAAGGATGACCTGGAATCTCCTATTTTCTCAGTATTAATTATTTAGTTTAATGGATATATCGTCTGGATAAAGATTCTATTCTTTGGTCATGGCATGAATATATACATTTGTTGACCAAGTTTGAGAATCTTAATTTTATGTCCATTCTAAGAGGTAGTATTCCCGTATTTGTCTAATCCTCTCTTTTAATCAATGGATTAAACATGACTCCATGTTACATATCAAGAACCAATTCTTCAAATTTGAAATATATGTACAAAATAACATGCAGGAAGCAATTACTGAGGAAAATGAAGCCTCTCTTATCATGTCAACTAGTTATAGTACATGTATCTATTTGTACTTTAATAGCTTTATCTTACACATTTTATTGAATAAACAGTTGTGAGATAACAAACATGAATTTTCATGCCAAAAACACAAAAACCTTGCCAATAATTTGTCATGTATGTTCAGAAATGTAGGTGTTGAAGTCGATGTAGATATAAACAATCTTATAAACAAAATGACCTGGACTAATTAGAACATTTCGGAATGAAATTAAATATGCATATTAATGAAATTAAAGAGTGGGTATGCATCAGTTTCTAAATATTAAGAGTCTCCCTTTCAACACAAATTTCTATTAATATTTCAAGGTACTTCTTGTTTTTTTAAAAATTTAATGTCATTATTCACCTGGGCACACACTTGCCAGGAAAGGTAACATACATCCACTCGCAGCTTACATCAAGAAGGCTATTCACGTATGTGTAATAGAAAATATACGCTTTCATAACCATATATCCATCAAATGTCCAAATCATAAGTGTGGGTGGGACAACCGGACAATACCTGTTACTTAAAGCAACAAGAATTGTGAGCATTGTTAATTTTGAGGAAAAATTGAAAGTTTGACAATAATTAGCATCCAAATCTCACCAATTATCTAGGGTTTGTAAATCAACATATAATATCAACAATAGAAACTACCTGATTTAGCCAGTTCAGCAATCAGTTGTGCACATTTAGCTGATAATTGTGGAGTTTGTGAGTTTTCTAATAATTGATGAACTTTTTGTAATATACCACTATCAACTAGTGATACAGCAATATCTTCACTTTTCTCTTCTACAATTAAAGAAATACATCAATTTTTAAAATAACAATTATACTTGTATCTAGTGATACATCAATATAAATACAGATTCAAAGTATTGATTTCTCTAAAACATTAGTTACACTAGTACTGGCATGGAAATTTTCAGTTTCATATTTTCTTAGAAAAATATAACATTCATTATCATTTGAACTACTCTGCAGATTGCTCTTTTTGGCAAAGACACTCCAGTTCTGATTGATTTTAGGTAATTTAGGCATACAAGTTTTCTAAATTTCCATTCAATATCAAATATAAATTACATAGTAGTGCAGAATAACAGTTGTTTACTCAATTTGGGTTCAATAGCCAACATTTTTGTCAAAAAAGCAATTTCTGCAACATAAAATTTGCATGAAAAAACTGTCAAACGATTTATATAAAATTACAAGATTATAAGTTTTCTAGCAAACTTCAGTTTTGCAAGTACATAATTTCTTTTGAACCCTGATATTTGTAGATGCAATAAATCAAACAAAACACAAGCTATATATAACAGAAAGATAAAGTAGAACTTTCTGCAATTAACTAAAATAAAAATTAAATAAACAAATTAAATGAAATAGTTATTTCAAATTTATAATAATTTAGCAACAAAGTTTTTTTTTCTCTGAAATTTCTAGATTAGGTGCCCCATTTTTGCAACCAATCTTACTTTGAGCCTTCAAATCCATGTGTGTCTGGAACTATCCAGAATGTTTGAAAGATAAAAAAAAAAGACCCCAAAATAATGCACCTGCCCCTTTTAGATACAGTGTACATCAAAGAGTGGAAAAAATAATAGTTGGCAGTCTCAGCAATTAATGCAAATTCAAATAACCAAATCTCCAAGGAGATTGAGAAGTCAGAGTTAATCAATCAAGTACGCTCTCTTCACAGAAAATATGCAAATTGACTGGAATTAGTCTGACCCAAGAAGACAGAATTTCCTTGAAATCATCGTTATATTTCTACCGTGTTTCACTGGGGCAGGTTAATTTTTTATTAGGTATTTATTTTTCAATCCATCTAATCAACAAGAAACAAAAAGATCATTTTACATTTTGATTTATATATATATATGTAACAAGCATGGAAAATAAATGAGAGTGGAAAGAATTAAGGAATTACAGATTCTGCAGTCCTGACGACAGATTTTATATATCTGAAATTTTGGGTTGTAACACAACAAGATCATGTCAATAATAAAAAAGAGGAAATTTCATTACCAATTCTACCCATGCTTATTGTCTAGGCATCTACAGCTCCAAGTTTAATTTGGTTGCCCAGGATATTCCTAGAATACTTTATGTAGAGAAATACAGAATTTGGTTTATTTAAATATCAATAATATCAGACATAAACCAATTCTATATTCTCTACATGCTCTTCTCTTAACATCACTGATTTATTGATCAATACAGTAATAATACAATTAGATACCAAATACATTGGTCAGATTGGCTTGACTGTGTAAGATTTGTCACCTAGTTTTCTGGTGCATGTATAAGAAGACACACATTCTAATGCATTAAAAACTAAACCTGTACAAACCAATACATGGGGGTCTTTTTACACAATTCGGCTTGCCTTACTTTCATTTGATCACATCAATATCAACAAGAAATATTGCTATAATCCAAAATCAGATACAGATTTCAATTAAATCATTGCATGCCTTTATTGATACAATACAAAATATACCAATTCAGTTTGTTTCAACAATACAAGGTAACTGTAACAATTCAACAATTTGAACAATACCTATTCCAATGGGCTGAAGGGCAAGATAAAATTTTTAAATTCAGCTGCTGACATAAGTCACTGATCATTTAGCAATATTCTTGGCAAAACGTACTGAGATAAAGCCATCTTTTAAGCTTCCAGACTCTTAGAATCTAGGATATTTTAGTTAATCTCTAACTATGTCTCTGAAAAGGTCTGTATATAGCCTGCTACTCATGTAAGCTTAAATGTCATGCATTAATTCTTTATTGAAATCTTTGACAATTGCATTTTTCAATATAACTGATACAATTATCAAGAAGGAATTTGCAGTTTTTCATATCCTTTTCACTCTCGCCTGTAAAAAGAGATAAAAGAGGATGTTCCTTACCATTATTGCCGATAATCTGTGTCAGTTCATCTAGACAATCAGCTTTCATACTGTCATCTTCTTCTACTTTTAACTTTTCTATTAATGGCAATAATTCATCTGTAAGATACAAAAACTTAAGCAGGTTTTTTTTTATTAGTAATGATGAGGGTTTCTATAAAAAGGCTTAAGAACTTGCTGTCTTTCTACCTTTGTCAGTCAATCAAATTTCAAATAGATTTTCATGCAAATTGGAATGAAAGTAGTGATCTTGTAAGAATGATTTTACTTTGTTTAAAGTCAGCACAGACTTTCATTTTGAAAACTTTTTATTACGGAAGGCAGGTAGACTTGAGGTCATAAATGGTCAGAATTTCTAGGTGTGTTTATATTAAATTCAAAGTTGATCAGCATAAATGAATTTACATGAAAATAAATGGTAAAAATACATTTTCTATCAAAATAAAGGTGAGAGAAATCATAAAAAGGTTTACAAAAGCTGAAGTTAACAACACATCATGTGAGTGTAAAAATCAGTTTGTAGCCAATTGGAATTCTATCTGCTGTAGAACAAAATTTGACTACCACATCAAGATTTTCGAAAAGTCATCACATTTGCAGCTAGGGCTGGGTAAAATGATTGAAATAATTGATTATCGATGCTGGGGATTTTTAATTTCGATTATCCATTATCAACTTTCATAATCGATGATATGTCACAGTAACACTTTCTCCACATTATCCATTAATAAGAAGTAATACTTCCTCATAGGTTCCCTTGAGCTCATAATTTACCCATAAGCTATACCAGTAACCAAACAAAGCAAGAATATACTACAGAAATAACCATGAAATTAAAACATTTGGCATGTTTTTAACTTAGTACCATACAGTGTTTCTCATTTAAATTTTTTCCGATTATTAATTGATTATTGATCAGTAGTCTGTTATCGATAATCGATCTCAATTTCAATTTCTTAATCGATACCCAGACCTATTTGCAGCTTTTCAACAAACTCCCACTATAAATTGTGGTTTTATTGCAATGCTCCTGTTTAATGAAAACATATTTTTTAAACAGAAGCAATATAATAATGGAATTTGGAATTTAAAAGTTACCTAACTAATTGATATAGGACAGAGTTCTCATTGCAGTAGTAAACACCAATGTAAGCATATTTTTCTGGCAGTTATTTTTTTATTTCTGAGAGCATAGAAAATTAACAGTATCTTAAACAAACATCAAGTCAACTGTTCAGATGAGAAAGATAATAGATCTACACTTAAATTTTATTTAGCCTAATCTTAAATCACATCATACTTTATGTAAAATTACTGCTGTCGAGACATCAAGTCTGAGCAAGAGTATAGTAATAGTAGAGGCTGGCCCAGCTTTGGCTCACTGCCCAGCTTCAAATTTATCATCATTGCGTTCTTAAATGCCTGGTGCTATTTTCCCCTTTGACAATTCTGTGGCCCATATTCGGCACTACACTACCTACACCCAATGCCACTAAGTGACTAATGGGCTAATGATTGCAAGTAACGCCACTGGCCATATTACGGTCTCCATGGATTTACACTATGTCATAACAGGCATAACAAAACAAACATAACTGACACAAGTCAATTTAGGAACAGGGGTATATATCTTGATCTTACATTTTTGAAAAAATTATCTCAATACTCAATCAATGAGTAGGCCTATCATTCAATTCGAAAAAAAAAAATGAAAATTGAAAAAGAAAATAGAATAACGAACCCATAGTATAATCTAGATGCAGCAAATTCAAACAATTTATTTGAAGCTGTACAAATTATTCCAGAAATCAGTGGAGTCAGTCAAAGACTTCGTCGTTTAAACATTTTTCTATAGTAATGATCAATGAATAAAATAATCAGTGGGCGCTGCCATGACACCGGAAGTAAACTGATTGGATGTTTCTTCGATCGACAAGACTGACGACACGTGCCCGTTCCTAAATAGAAACTACCCTCAAAATTTAAGCTATCTGACGTCATTAATGACATAATGAACTGACATAAGATGCATTTAATTAAGTAATCAAGCAGATGACATGGTTCTATTTCGATGCCATATGATTTTTTAAACTGTCAATCCTTATCTCTATCTCAATAACCTTTATTGGTTCAATGAACTTTTCCAGAATGTTTAATTTGACTTCAAATGGACTAGTCTATTAAGATTTGTAGGTACAGCAAGTTATTACTTTCATTCTATCAATTTGTGAGTATCCGTATTGCTGGTGTGTCTCTTCACCGAACTAAAATTGATTCATTGAAGTTATTTCGATTAGTTCGGATTAATTAAGATAATCTGTAATTGATAACAACTTATTTTCGATTTTGGATGAAGATTTGGAGATTCTTTATAAGTTCCTACAACTTTTGTAAACACCTGACTGAGATTGAGAAAACTTTTCCCTGGAACTTCTTCAACTTGGATTACTTTGAACTTGATGGCGGAATTGGTAAATTATGAGTAAATTTACTGTTGTTTTGAAAGGGGGACTTCCTTGGGGATTTCGACTGCAAGGAGGAGAAGAACCTGGTAACCCTATCGCAATTTCAAAGGTGAGCTATGACATTTATATAGTGAAAACGATATTTATGAATAGACACCAATATCCTACATTACATACGGTACATGTAATTTCTCTTGGGCTTGGGTAATTTTCAGACACATGATTGGTATGGATTGGATAATTATATTTTGTCATTGCCAGTGGTTCCTGTTATTGCAGAAGTTGATCTAACATTTAATCTATTGCATATATCATAGTTATATCAGCAGATCGATTGCGAAACATTTCATTTAAATAAAGCAGACGTTTTGATGACTGCATACCACACACACAACCCTCCTACTGTGAATATATCATCAGCCTACACACATTGACATAGATAGAATTTAAACTAATTCATATTGATAATGTCTGAACAACACTGAACTTTTTGTTTATGTTTTTGATATAAAAATCTTTGCAGAAATGGAATTCAGACTGCATCTTACAATCGATTCTGAAATATTGTCATCATACCCCAATTCTAAAAGTTTTTAGTGTCAAATCATGTACTGTAGGCCTACACCATATGACAGACTGAATAGTGAATATAATAGGATAAGATTTATTTAGACTACTTGTACTTGACAGGAAAGTGGATAATAGTCAATATGATACATCTTTTTAAGAAATGAGCAGTGGGATTGTTATTTCACTGAAATGGATATGTCCTGTGTTTTATTCCACATTTATAAAAATGTGTTTATTTGATACTGCATATTATACAAGATAGAATACATCTTTACATTTTATATATTCATTTATTACCATTTTTTAAAAAGATAAAGGTCAGATGATTGTAGCTATGTTAAGTTATGTTCAAATTATTGGATTAATGAAACAGTAATTAATGGAAAATAAGCAAATTATTGATAACTTCATTACAAAATTTTTACTAGAGAATTCTTCTCTTAAATAGCAAACTTAATTAAGATATATAAACCAAGATATCCCAGACATCTCTGACCAAAAATTGATGTGCATCATTGTCTCGACAATGTCTCTTTTACATAAGCATAGAGCAACCATTGCTATTGCCCTGAAACCTAAATTGTTGAAATGTTAACAACTTGCATAGCAGAGCAAAAAACTTTGCTCATGTATATGAATGAGAACCAAATCTTTCTACTATTACAAGCATAAATTATTAGTAATTCTAAAAATGGTACTGAAATATTTTTAAAAATATGGAAAATTTGTCAAAAGATAAACTAAGTAGATTGTAGGTTAAAAAACAAATATTTTAATAATCAGAATGACAGCTGTATATATTGTAGCTCCAATGTACTATGATTAGCATGCTTTGTTCAATCTGCTTTTCTCATATAATTTACATATCAATTCTGTCTCTAATACTGTGCAATAATACTGATTGCAAGGAAAACTGTGTGGAAGATTGAACTTGAGATGCAGGGATGTTGATTATCTTACATTAAAAATTTGCCAGTCATGTCTGATTGTCAGGCTTAAATTTGCTATTGCAGTTCCCAGATTTGTTTATTTTTGTTCATGAAAACAAGCTTGAATTAACTAATCAACTGTAAATTCATAAAATTGTATTATCCATGTTACAACCACCATTTTCTTTTGTCCAGTGGATTATGCATCTAAAAATACTAATTAATTATTATGATAGTGATCTGTATGTCTAGTTATCTAGACGATTAGTTTATGTCTTGCATGTCCGTTGGCAATAAATGCATTCTTATATTTTAAGTAAATTACTAGAGTGCCATGATGGAGAAATGGATATCATAGTAGAAGTTTGAAGTATGGTGTTTGAAGTTTGGTCTATGTTATGGTCATTATTAGTTCTAGTGTATGATTTTGATCAGTTAGAGGTGTTTTTAACAGATGTGTAAGGATAAAGTACATCAGTTAACCTGTGTGGAATGTTGAGGTAGTAGGACAACATTGGTATTCATTTGAATACTGGTACCGAACTTTTCATAAGGTTTATGTTTAAGACGTCTGTTGCATTTCAAATTTTTGTACTGGCGTTGGAAGTTTCCTACATGGCTTATTGCAGTAAGCAAACATTTGCTTTGAAATTGGATGGATGGTGAGCAGTATGTTGAGTGTTTGGAACTGTTTTTTTTGGGGGCAGGAAAACAGACCTTCAATATGCACCATTCCAATTTTCTAACCACGTCAGTGGTTCTAGCAATTTCACTAAAACTGGTAAGCATTTTATAACATCACTATCGAAAAGGGTCTTATATTATATTGGCAAATTTTGCGACAGTGATGTCATAAAGTGCTTAGTTTTAATGGAATTGCAAGAACCTCAAATGTCTGACGGAAAATTGGCAAATTTGAATTCTAACAGTGTACTTGAAACATTTAAAAAGTTTTACAATATCTTTGACTTTCAACTTATATTTTGTGGTAAACTTAATAAAACGGTATATTATGGTATGGTTATGCACTGCAATATATTAGGCCTACATATTTGAGTGTGTAAAGATATAGATATTAGGTCTATTGAGTTATAAATATGATATATGTAAAGAATGTTACTGATTTCACTAATATATCATCTTGTCACAATCTTCTCTTTTATTGATAGCTAGATATCGATCATTAAAATCACCAGGTTTATCTAGCTCTATCTACTTACTACGCTCTTGATTGATTTTGGATTGAAGTCAACCACCTGGTCCCATTAATATGTTTATCTTCAGTTTTCAGTTTGTGGTCTCTAGACATGAAACTTGGTCATATTTACGAAT